CTGAAACTTTCCAAAAGTTAGCCTTAGGCCATGGAAACCTTAAGTCCTAATCAATAACATTTGGCAAAACTACGAGCAACTGAAAACAAGGTCTTATAATGGAAAGGGCTCATAAACTTTACTATAAGTAGCGCTAAAAGTTCTGCCAATAATGACAGGCCAAACCAAAACAGCAGGTCTGTGCATTATTGGAAACAGAGAGATCAGGATTTTGGAACTAGAGGTCAACTCTAATCTACAACAGGCACCAAGCACTAAATCCAATAGGCAGACCAATGTCCTAACCAGGAAATGCTAACATTAGGTCCCTGGCATTCTTGGGTGCTCTTAGTTACTGTGGTAGTAGTTATATGCAGCCAAGGATGATTTGTAAACATAATGACAAGAAATGAAAGATCACAGTTCGCAGAGCCCCACCCCTTGTAGTGGAGCGCTTTGTTTTGTTTCCCCATTTTCACCTTTTTTCTACGGCAAGAAAAACAGAACTAAAAATTGGTGTTATACAATGATTTGCGTTGCGGCCTTCTTATGGAAACAAAATCACGGGCTCACACCATGACTTGTGCATCTTTTGGTATCGCTGGCCCTGAGAGAGGAGGGCAGATGGACTACACACACAAAAATGAATGTGCACTGTCGCAGTAAGGGAAGTGCTAAGATCTGGGATATTGGTCCAGCTACCTGTTTCACCTGTCAACCTTCCCCCACTCCATCTTCACAGGGGGTGTGTGGGGGCTTGAAGATGAGAGAGCAAACCCACAACAGCAGCAGCACAGCCACAGACTCCTGTGAAAATCTGTTTACTCCAACTTTATACACTGAATGAGCATCCAGGCTCCACTACCAAATTACGCGCATTGTACCTGGTAAATAATGAGACTCACAGTCTGTTCCTGCTCCAGCTGAAATTACCAGTGATTTCAGTGGGAATAAAGATCAGGGTCAGGACCAAGGTTTTCCAGTTTCATTACAATTACACATATTGTCATAATGGCACCAACTGCATCATCTTTCTTGTAATACAAATAGCTACGTTAGCCCTTCTGCTAATGGAACAATACAAAGGTACTTTTGCAAGCAAAGAGCACCCATTTGTGCACTATCACATTTATTTTGGTCATCTTGTAACCTTAAGGCAGAAAGCTGGGTTCGTGATTGCTACTCGTGTTTCAAAACTGCAGCACAAATTTTCGTCAGTCCTAACATTCTCCAAATGTCAAAGGGAGGGGAGGACCAAGAAAAAATGGAGACAGACGAAATCTAAATCCACTAAGGGAAAGTTAAAACTCCTGGTAGGAAGCTGCAGTTGTCGGCTCAGCAGTCTGGGAACATAGTCTAGTCTCCGAGGCTGCTGTTGTGCTGGTGATGAGAAGGGTGGTACAGTAGCTTATGCCCAGGTGCTGACACCAGGATCAGCAGTTTGTCTCTGGCATCAGACAGCAAGTTCCAAGATCCCAAGCCTGCTGCTGGTAATTTGCTTCAGACAAATCTAATAACAAAAAGCCAAGAATCTATACCATCTGTTGGAGGTGAGAACAGCTAAGTTGCTGGCTATGTGTAGCACCAGAGGAAAGCATAGCACATCCACTCTGCCATTACAGGCATCTGCCACTGTGAGGTAAGGCCTATAGCCACTGGGACAGAAAAAGAAAGAAGGTGGTTTCAGAAGGAAAGAGTTTAATAAAACAGAAAGTTTAGCTAAACTATCACACCAGAGCACAGTGTTTTTTCTCATGAATACATGCATCTTTTCCCTCCCCCTTCAAAATATTATAGAAACAACCAAGTTTCCCTTGCAAAGGGAATCTCTGGAGAGCTGTTCTGCGTGCAGTGTTCTCACTTTAGTCAGAGAGATGTGCTGAGCTGTACTTTAGAGCTGAGGGTTGGCTGAGTTCAAAGGGTGGTCAAAGAAAGGGATGGTTCTGTAGTTAAGGCACTTAACTCAGATTAAGGAGACACAGCATATGCCTATACCGTGCACTCAAGAGCACCTCCAAGAAAGCACCTCCTCCACCCCTCTGTGTACCTGAAATGTGAGGCAGTGAAGTTGCCCTGAGGCTGCTCTCAAAGATGTAGGAGACAAAGATTAAGAATGGCAGTGGGGAAAGACCTCACAACATCCTCATCCCCCACCCCTTATTTCCCAGATTTGGCACATGCAAACCAGAAGTGAGCAGGCACAGAGTGCTTCTTGCTGGCAGCACCATAACAAGGGATAGGCAAGTAGAGCACAGGGCCTGGACTCCAACATAATGAGGATCCCAGAATAGTGCCCCTTCTGGGGAGCCCACTGTGTGCCACTGCAAGAGCAGTTGGGTGCAGGAAGACTGCACCGGGCAGGTAAGACTGCTGCCCTCCCCACTCCTCTCCTTCTCCCCAGTGACCAGTAGCCTTTCTGTGCATAGTGGCACTCCTGCCCTGTTTCCTTCAAGGTTTTGCCCAGGGTGCAAACCTTGGTAGCTATGCCCCTGCGCAGCAATGTTCTCAGGAGCAATGCAGCAGAGGTACAGCTACACCCCTCAGACTCAGCAATATCACAAGCTACCGCTGCATAGACTTGGAGACACCCCTTTCTCTCTCTAGGCCTCAGTTCACCATTTGCATAATACAGTGAACAATACTGCCTTTCTCCCACTTTTTGTCCCATGTCTGTTTAGATTATAAACAGCTCCACTTTGCAGGTTGCCTCTTTCAGCATGATCATACAAAGTAATAGCCCTGATATCACCTGGGCCCCACAGGTACTGGCATAAAACACAAAGAATTAGTAGAATCCCACTCAAGGCTTTACTGAATGGCTAAGGTCATATCTCTGCCCTCCCTGTCCCTTTGAGTCCCCTGGTTCTTACTATAGCGAACAGTCAAAACAGAATTATTTTCAGGAGGCCTCTTAGATATAAGAAAACTTTAAATTTGGGGGTCTGTTAATCATTCCTATAACAGCTCTTTTAATCCTTATGGCTACTGTTAACCCCCTTGAAATTAAAAAGAATTGCTCAAACTGTTTAGAAGTGGCAAAGTGCAGCCAACAGTCCACTTACAACTTGCACCCAGTCTCCCATTCAAGCCCCAGTCTTCATTTGAGCAGAGCATCGAGCAAGCTGCACAATGGTGTCCTTGTGTGTAGGACTATTAATTAGTGCAGCAATTCTCAACCAGGGTTCTGGGGCACCCTGGGGTGCTGTGAGATCTTTTGAAGGTTCAACAGGAAATGTAGGAGATAAGCGAGGTGCCTGGCTGCTCCTCTACCTGCACTGCTTGACCCTTCTGCAAGGAGGTAAGCCCTGTAGTAAATAAATTGGTTTCTGAAATGAGGTACCTCTCAATTCACTAAAGTTATGGAGGGGTGCCTTGCAACGAGTACCTTGCGTCTGAAAAGGCTGAGAACCACTGCATTAGGGGCTTTTCTTGTAAAACCATGGTAAAGTGCCATCTGCTGGAAATGGGCAAGGACCACTGTGGCTCTCTATCACGAACACAGGAGAAATACAAAATCTCTCCTAGGAACATTGCCTGTTTCTTCACTATTCTTGCCTGCTGCATCTTCTGACTCATCACAGCTACTGACACTGATTTGTATGTGAATCATAGTTGTATTATGCTATCTGATTACAGTGTGAATGAGGTACAAAAAGAGGAGGAACACTAGAGCTGCAAACGAAAGGTAAATCACCAGCTCATTTTCTGTTATTGTATAAATGAGGGTGTCCAGAGTTTCCAGTCTCAGCAAGAGAATGCAAGGCATACT